GGGGGGGGGGGGGGGGGGGGGTAGAGAAGCTTCTTAAAGAATGGACCATTTACTTCTGAATCCATTATGTACCTCTTTCTGCTTCATTGCTTTGTTTGTTGGCCTTGGAATGAAGTAAAGAGGACAAGTGCTGCCTGTTCAGATTTTTAAAATATTGCGGTTTTAATGTAATTGGGATAAGGAAATCTACTCTATTACTGTGCAAGAAGTAAAACAATGCCTCAAAATTTGTTTTAAGAGCTGTATTTGATTAAAATATGTTAACAGTATGGTACAGTAATCTACTGGAATATGGCAAGTTTCCTAGGTGGTATGATTTTTTTGTTATTTTACTTTTCAGTGTGCTTTTTTATTTCAAGTGTTTTACAGTTCTGCATGTTCATCTATTTCTTTCCTTTTTTAGAAGTCATTTTGATAGTTAACACACATATTTTAAGTTTAATGGAGAAATATCCATAATTGAATTGTGCATCTCCTAGATAATACAATATTTGCATTTTAGCTGATTTTCTTCTTCTTAGATCTAGCTTTCTACATTTTGGGGGTTATTTTATCTTTGTAGCTATCAAAAAATATTAATTCAGTGCTGAGGGGACCGATACTGCTTTTTTTTTTTTTTTTCTGGTAGAAAAGAAAAGCTGATTTGCTTTCAGTGATCCATTTCAGTAAGAGTTCTATTTATTTTATTTTTTTCTGGTAGAAAAGAAAAGCTGATTTGCTTTCAGTGATCCATTTCAGTAAGAGTTCTTTAATACAGCAAAGACATCTGGCATGAATGTAAGCAGAACATTTGGAGGACTTCTTTTTCATAACCAATCACTTGGTAGTAGAAATGGACCATTATACTGGATAAGAAGGTTTTAGAATGGTTGAAACTATCACTTAGTTATATAAATTAAATGTACTATTTTTGGTAAACATTACATTTGTTAAACTAAAATTTAATTATTAGATATGAGGTATCTCTAAAGTTTGTTTTCTGGGTGTAGTTTTGTAGATGGCTTTCCTTGTCTCTGAAACTTTCCTTATGCATTATGAAAGTTTGCTAACAAATTCACATTCATATGTTTAAAAGGTATATTATGATGAAAAAAGATCAGTGTGGGACTGTGAAAACTCTTAGTACAAATAAAAGCACTCAAAAGAGCTTGATTGCAGAATTAATAATGTGATAATTCTAGGAAAAGAGCTGCAATGGTAAATTAAATTCACTGTCAATAGATGAAAATGAAATAGCTTTTTTGCATTATACATGAGGTGGTATCAGATGTGCAGTGATGTTACAGAAAATTGGTGTTTATCAAGGATATTCCAAATAGTAAATTAAATGCCTTTTTATTTGAATATAGTTTATTTTCAGTGGGTTGGAAAGGGTGCGCTAAGAATTAGATCTTTTGTTTTTAATCCACTTGTGCATTTTTTTCTTATTACATTGACATTGCTTATTTATAGTTCGGAGGCATGTTATTTGTATAAAGCAAAAATATCCGTTGGAAAAAAATGGAAAGCTGGAACGCATTGAATAATATTTTGTGTGTGTAGTGACGTAACCTGATCAAATGTTAGTTGAAATGTCGGATAAAAGAAGGCTTATACTTTGCCTGTAACAGGTGGAAATACTATGGAATCAATTTTAAGGATAAAATAAAACCTTGCAGTGTATAAGAAGCTTGAAGAATTCTGAACAGTTTGTATTAAAATATGATTTTAACTAGATTATTACCTATTTGGGCAGATAATCTCTATTTTTCAGATAGACTTCAATTTTGATAGTGTTTTTGTTCACACTTGACCACAAGCCTGTGCGATTATCTAAGGTCCTGGTATTCTACTGAGCTCCTTTCAACTTCTCTTACTTAGATAAACATAAGGCATACTTACCTTGTACATTTCAGAGGAGCTAAATTATAAAGCTATGATTCATATCACTGAGTTATAAAGAATTTCTTGTAGGATTTTATGCAATAATTCAGAAGCCCATTTTCGTGTCTTTCAGATATATAGATATATTCATGACTGTCATATTCTATTAGAATAAATATGCGTGATGTTTATTTCATGAGGCATTTTTTTTGTAAGAGTGTATTTGGGAAGAAGTATACTTTAGTTGTAACCTATTGTATTTTCTCTAATTACTGAAGTTTTGACACAGAATGTAATTGTGTTCATAAGGTTTAGTTAAATAAAATACTAGTGTTTTGCGGAAACTTTCTTCTGGATGTATAACACAGAATACAAACACACCCTTTGGGGACATTTTAATAAATTTCAATTCAAATGGTAGGTATGTTATAGCCAATATAGTCTTCTCATATTTGTCTTCCTTTTTTTGCTCAGGTTATATCAGAAACTTTCTTCTGGATGTATAACACAGAATACAAACACACCCTTTGGGGACATTTTAATAAATTTCAATTCAAATGGTGGGTATGTTATAGCCAATATAGTCTTCTCATATTTGTCTTCCTTTTTTTGCTCAGGTTATATCTTTAAAATCATAAATCTTAAGCAACCCTCCCTTTCTGAGTAATTTTTAAATTTTGAAATGGAAGAAAACATTTTAGCATATTAATTGATATGAATTTAGAATTGGTATAGCTCGATATTGCATTGTATATTTTGACATGTTATATGTTAAATAGAATAACTTGGGAAAATTGTGTGATGAGGAATTGTAAAGTGCATTTTTCAATTACTGTAATTACAGAAAAATGATCTACAAGTAGATTTACTTTTTGCTGTGCTGTATAATTCATTTATCTGTTTTTTAAATCTAATTTTGTGGAATACCAACTTATTACTGATCGTTTAGGAATTTATCTTTTTTTCTTACTTGATTATAGGAACCTAATTCGATTTATTTATATATCTTTTTATAATTAGGTTACATAAAGTTGCCTTGTAGCAAAAAACAGCTTTCTCATTTTGGGGAATATATTACTATATGCATTTTCAGAATGGTGATACTGTTATTTTTTTCTTTTATTTGGCATCTGAAGATGTGTTTAGTTTTTAATAGATTAGTTTTATCTGTTAAAATTATTTAATGAATGGTTTGGGTAGGTAAAACTTATTGAATACATTATTGGCTGGAAATAATATAAAGGACGTATAACATAAATATTTTCATGTGTGCTTTAGATTTTAGAACACTTCACAGTATACTTATTTTTGTTCTATTACATGGTACTGGAGATATTCATTATATCAGTCAAACAGTAATCTTACACTATAATATTGGAATCTATTTCTGTGTATTTTGTATTGTTTTCATATTTGTCATTATAAATCTGGATTACATTTAACATAAGTTATTTTCTTTTGTGTGCCTTCAGTTAAAATTTTAATTTACTCGTATTATTCCTATATTCATTATATCTTGATTTCTGTCACCGTCTAACTTGGGTGGTGTTTTTTTTATTTTTAATCCCACACCATTTATACATTAAATTTTTTTTTAATCCCGAAAAAGCAGAATGTAAGTAAAATTTTCTTTTAGTGAAAGAAATGCCCCCACACAGCTTTTATTTTAACATGGGGGAAATTCAGTGGCCAATTTAACCTTTAGGGTTGTCATTGTATAAGAATGATCATTTTTTGAAAATCA